CAGCTTTCCCCACAGCATTTGGAGAGTCTCAGCCTGAACTGGGCTCTGAGGGCCTAGGGTCGGCCACTCATGACTCCCAGCCTGACCTCCGACGCATTGTGGAGCTACCTGCACCTGCCGACTTCCTCAGTCTGAGCAGTGAGACCAAACCCAAGCTGATGACACCTGACGCCTTCATGACGCCCAGCGCCTCCCTGCAGCAGGTGTGCTGGTGAAGGAGTGTGGGGCTAGGGCTGGGGGACTGGGAATGCCTCTCACAGACACGGCCCTTGTTCTCCCATCTCCCCAGATCACTGCGTCTCCTAGTAGCAGTAGTAGCAGTAGCAGCAGCAGCAGCAGCAGCAGCAGCTCCTCTCTTACAGCTGTGTCTGCCATGGGCAGTACTTCGGCTGTGGACCCCTCCTTGTCCAGGTGAAGTGAGAGTCAGAGTTAGTGGGTAACAGGGGCTGGTGCCAGGTAGTGCCAAGGTCTGGCTGCTTACACCTCAGCCTTCCTGCCACCAGGCCACCTGAGGAACTGACCTTGAGCCCCAAGCTGCAGTTGGATGGTGGTCTGACAATGAGCAGCAGCAGCAACCTGCAGGCAAGCCCACGCAGCCTCCTGCCCAGCCTGCTCCCAGGTCCGGCCGACAAATTGACTCCCAAAGGGCCTGGGCAGGTGCGTGTGTGGGTGTGTGTGAAGTGCAGGTGTATGGCAGTGGGGAGATTGGCGGCAGTCTCCTCTGCTAGCCCTGCTCTGCCTCAGGTGGCCCATGTTTACCCTGACGTCATCTCAGCCTCCAGTGTTCCCTGGAGGGCAGATCCTCAGCCTCTCCATCCTCACCTCCTCTCCTCCTGGGTGCATCGCCCTTCACTGCTGTCCCACCTCTCATCACTACAGATACTAGTGCTTTGTCTCTGTACTCCCCTTGTCCCTACTTCCCACCGCCTAAGTTCTTATCTTCGGTCTACTTCAGGTGCCAACTGCCACCTCTACACTATCCCTGGAGCTGCAGGAAGTAGAGCCCCTGGGGCTGCCTCAGGCTTCCCCTAGCCGCACCCGCTCCCCCGATGTTATCTCCTCAGCTTCCACTGCCCTGTCCCAGGATATCCCTGAGATTGCATCTGAGGCACTGTCCCGTGGCTTTGGCTCCTCTGCTTCTGAGGGTCTAGAGCCAGACAGTATGGCCTCAGCTGCCTCGGCACTACACCTTCTGTCCCCACGGCCCCGGCCGGGGCCCGAGCTTGGCCCACAGCTTAACTTGGATGGAGGCCCTGGGGATGCGGATCGGCATAGTACCCCTTCCCTCCTGGAGGCAGCCTTGACCCAGGAGGCCACAGCCCCTGACAGTCAAGTCTGGCCTACAGCACCTGACATTACTCGTGAGACCTGTAGCAGCCTGGCAGAGAGGTGAGGAGTTTAGGAGAGGGAAAGTGTGCTGGTGGTAGGGTCTTCAGATAGAGTCATCCACTGCTGAGTTGGCCTGTCCCTCCAGCCCCAGGAATGGCCTCCAGGAAAAGCACAAGAGCCTGGCTTTCCACCGACCACCTTATCACCTGCTGCAGCAACATGACAGCCAGGACGCCAGCGCCGAGCAAAGGTAGGCACCACCTCACACCATTCCTTTCACAGGGAGAGCTAGCAAGTGGGTAGGTGCCTAGCCCTCTCCCTCCCCTTCCCACAGTGACCACGATGATGAGGTGGCCAGCCTTGCCTCTGCTGCAGGGGGCTTTGGCACCAAAGTTCCCACTCCGCGTCTTCCTGCCAAGGACTGGAAGGCCAAGGGATCCCCTCGGGCCTCACCCAAGCTCAAGAGAAAGGGCAAAAAGGATGACGGGTAGGAGGGGTCCTGGGGCCAGGGAGCGGGGTGATCTCCAGGCTGCCTGCTTGACATGGCCTGAGGTGCTTCTCATGTATGGCAGGGATTCATCAGTGGGATCCCGGCTCACAGAGCACCAGGTGAGTGAGCAACTTCCTGCTTCTGGCTCCTGCCTGTGAGGGTGGAGTGGGAATCTGGGCCATCCCCAGGTCTGGTCTGGTGTGTGGGGATGAGTAGGGCAGGCATCATGTGATGGTGGTGCTCCTGTCAGGTGGCAGAAATCCCTGAGGACTGGCCAGCGTTAATTTGGCAACAGCAGAGAGAGCTGGCGCAGCTGCGGCACAGCCAAGAGGAGCTGCTGCAGCGTCTGTGCACCCAGCTTGAAGGTCTGCAGAGCACTGTCACAGGCCATGTAGAACGTGCCCTAGAGTCACGGCATGAGCAGGAGCGTATCCTTGTGGGCAGTGGCACAGCATGGCATAGGGATGGGGCAACAGCAGCATTCTTGGCTTAGGAAGGGTTGTGGGGCTTGCTCTAGGCCTATTCCTTAGCTACAAGGCAGAGCGGCGACTAGAGCGGGCACTGGCTGAAGGGCAGCAGCGAGGTGGGCAGCTGCAGGAGCAGCTGACGCAACAGTTGTCCCAAGCTCTGTCTTCAGCTGTGGCTGGACGGCTGGAGCGCAGCATACGGGATGAGATCAAGAAGACTGTGCCTCCATGTGAGTTTTGCATGGAGACTTCTGGGTGGGCCACATGGGAGTGGGGCCCCCTTCCTGTCAAGCTTCCTTTCATGGCTCTACCTCTCTATTCTCACCCTACCTCAGGTGTCTCTCGAAGCCTGGAGCCCATGGCAGGCCAGCTGAGCAACTCGGTGGCCACAAAGCTCACAGCTGTGGAGGGTAGCATGAAAGAGACCATCTCCAAACTGCTAAAGTCCAAGGTGCTATAGGGCCTAAGATGAGGGAGGTTGGTGGTTGGTGGGCCTGGGCTTGGGCTCAGGCTTTCAACTGAGTCCCTCCCTCCATGCCCAGAACTTGACAGATGCCATTGCCCGAGCAGCTGCAGACACATTACAGGGGCCAATGCAGGCCGCCTACCGTGAAGCCTTCCAGAGCGTGGTGCTGCCCGCCTTCGAGAAGAGCTGCCAGGCCATGTTCCAGCAGATCAATGATAGCTTCCGACTGGGCACACAGGAATGTGAGTGCGGTCATATGCCCCCAGCTGGGAGGTGTGTATCTCCCCCACCAGCCATCTCATGATCCCATGGTCACTTGTCAGACTTGCAGCAGCTGGAGAGCCACATGAAGAGCCGAAAGGCACGTGAGCAGGAGGCGCGAGAGCCTGTGCTGGCCCAGCTGCGGAGCCTGGTCAGCACACTGCAGGGGGCCACTGAGCAAATGGCGGCGACCGTGTCCAGTAGTGTTCGGGCTGAGGTGCAGCACCAGCTGCATGTGGCTGTGGGCAGGTGTGTGGGCAGGGCACTGGGCAAGGTGGTGGGTTTGTAAAGGCCCAGACCAGACTCCCTGTTTACCTCATTTCCCTTCACTTGGCTTTGCAGCCTGCAGGAGTCAATTTTAGCACAAGTACAGCGCATTGTCAAGGGTGAGGTGAGTGTGGCACTCAAGGAGCAGCAGGCCGCCGTCACCTCTAGCATCATGCAGGCTATGCGCTCAGCTGCTGGCACACCCGTCCCTGCTGCCCACCTCGACTGCCAAGCCCAGCAAGCCCATATCCTGCAGCTGCTGCAGCAGGGCCACCTCAATCAGGCCTTCCAGCAGGTAAGCCAGGCACTAGGCACAGGTCGGGTCAAGTGTCTCCTGACAAGGCCCAACCATGATACGTTCCACTCTACCCATTAGGCTTTGGGTGGTCAGGTCCCAGCTGACTCTTCTTGGTTCTCTTTTGCCTGCTTTTCTCTCTGCCTGGATGCTGGATCCCTTTCTTCCTCCTCAGCCCGCCTTGCTTCATAGCCACCCTTCTCAAGAAACCTTTCCTAATCCCTTAGAGTAATAACAGCCCTACAGAGTCTCTCTGGGCTTCCCCCTCTGGATCCCCTAGAACTCTTCTCTTTGGTCATCTTCCCCCAGGCCACATAGCCAACAAGCAGGCATCTCATCCTGACATTAGCTGCTCTCTACTCAGGCTCTGACTGCTGCTGACTTGAACCTGGTGCTGTTCGTGTGTGAAACTGTAGACCCAGGCCAGGTTTTTGGGCAGCCACCTTGCCCCCTCTCCCAGCCTGTACTCCTGTCACTCATCCAGCAGCTGGCCTCTGACCTTGGCACTCGAACTGACCTCAAGCTCAGGTGAGTGGGTGTAGTCAGGGACTAGGGCTCGGATCAAGGTGGGAGAGCAGTTCAGAGACTCCTACTCCTGCCTGACACCCCTCCCTGATTTTCTCCAGCAATCCCCTTTGCCCATCTCAGGCTTTGAGGCCTCCATTGCCTCATTGCCACCAGGGGGCGCTCCATCTGCTGGAGGCCACCTGCAGCCTGTCCCTTTCCTCCACCCCCAGCTACCTGGAAGAGGCTGTGATGCACCTGGACCACAGTGACCCCATCACTCGGGACCACATGGGCTCCGTCATGGCCCAGGTGCGCCAGAAGCTCTTCCAGTTTCTGCAGGCCGAGCCACACAACTCACTTGGCAAAGCGGCCCGGCGTCTCAGCCTCATGCTGCACGGCCTTATGACCCCTAGCCTCCCTTAGCTAAGCCTGCCTTACCTAGGGGTGGGATGGCACTGAAGGCCAGCAGAGAGGCCTAGGCCAAAGCAGGGTCATGTCTGCCTTTTACCTGCTCAGGCTCCCACCTCTTGGGTGTTTGACAGGGGTAGCACTGGCTATGGTCTATAGGTTGTGGTAGCCAGCAGGTTTAGGCTGGGCCCAGGGTGGGTATTGTGCCTTCTTGGGTTCTGCCATGCCTGGAGCATGACCCCCGAGATTGTGACATCACTTGTGTTAAATTTTCCATGTTCCTTTTTACCTCCAATTTGGATCTTTTTGTTTTTGAAAAACATTGAGAAATTCAATTAAATGCTTTTGGAATAAAATGGAGTACATGTGTGCTTTTCATGTGTCTTTGGAGTGACTTTGATAACTGCCCTCTGTTACCTGCCCCCTCCCTTCTCCCATTGTGGAGCTTGGTCTAGCCCAACCCACCCCAGGGGCCTGGACACCCACACTCATCTGCACAGCTGTCTTCCCAGGCCTCCTGTCTCCATCTTTCAGGCAAGGGCCCTGGGATCAGCTCAGCACCACCTTGTGCCCCTGGGTTCTCCTCTCTGGAGTCCCTCCCTCTATCCCTTGCCTAGCTGGGAGCTGGGGGCGGGGCCGCCAGCTGTCTTTGGAGCCCTGCCCCCAACTCCCATCCAATCACAGTCCCTTCTTTCGGGGGCTGGGCCGAAGGGCTGTACTCCAAGCTGCTAGCTCTGGCACTAGGCTCCCAGCTGGGGATGATGCGCTGTTGCTGCTGCCGCTGCTGCCCCTATCGCCACTGCCAGCAACCGCCCCGTGCCCTGGGGCTGTTGCTGTTGCTGCTGCTGCCGTCCTTTGGTGAGTGCCATTGTGCTGGACCCTGCCCAGGCTGCACATTCTCTCCCCAGACTGGGTATAGATTGTGTGGGAGCTGAGGCCCAGCCTTCCTGAGTGCTGAGAGCCAGGGTGGAGAGGAGGTGAGAGGGCTCCTGGGAGGGGATAATGTGTGCCAGTGGCTTCAGGATATAAAGTGAGGGGTGTGAACTTAACCCTAGTTTTGGGGGAAGAACCCCTCATTTCTGCAGCCCTCATTCTGATAAAGGGAGACTTGGACTCTTGCAGGACTCCCAGACCAACCATGGGACCTCTGAGGTCCTCTGTTAGTGTCAGGCCTGGATCCCAGCACCCTCTATCCTTCCTTACCCATCCAAAAACACTTGTCTTTGGGGGCGAGATGGAAAAGCCAAGCAAAGCTTTTCTAGGCTGCAGAGAAACAACACTGCTGGGAGCCCTGCCCGCCTGACCCCCTTCACTGTGACCTCCTTCATTTGGAACATTCCTACCACTCCTAGGGTCCAGGAGCTCGGAAGAAGAGCCAACCCCTAGGACATGACATCCACTTTCTCCACCCCCACCTATCCTGTCCAGTTCTGCCTAGAAGGGGGCTGAGGCAGGTGGTCCCCAGATATGCCTCTTAGTTCCCTGGGGCATCCCTTTCACGCTGAGTCACATCCCCGGAGAGCTCCCTGGTAAACAAGTCCCTGGGGGTTGCGGAGGGGAAAAGACGGGTTCGCTGGATCATTCTATCAACCATTCTCCATCCCTACCTGCAGTCCTTGTATCTCCCCTGGCAGCAGCCACTGTAGGCCCAGGCCGCTGTGACACCATATACCAGGGCTTTGCCGAATGTCTCATCCGCTTGGGGGACGGCATGGGCCACGGAGGCGAGCTAGAGACCGTCTGCAGGTATGGGCAAGTGCGAGGGCAGTAGCCCAACCCTGCCACCCTTGGGGTCTGAACCTCTTTCTTCCCATTCCAAAGCCCCCTCACCCCACCTAATTCCCCTAACCCCACACCCTTAACAGGTCTTGGAATGACTTCCACACCTGTGCCTCTCGAGTCCTGTTGGGCTGCCCAGAAGAAGCAGCCGCTGTGTGGGAGTCACTACAGCAAGAAGCTCGCCGGGCCCCGCACCCAGATAACTTGCACACCCTGTGTGGCACCCCTGTGCGTGTTCAGGAGCGAGGCGCCGGCCCCGAGACCAACCAGGAGACGCTGCGGGCAGCTGCACCCGCACTCACCCCGGCCCCCTCGCCGGTGCTGCTGACTGCTGCTCTGGCGCTCGCCTGCCTCCTGGGACCCCTGGCCTAGCCAGTCCAGTCTGGTCAGGTAGCAGCGCCCTTGCCCCCAGCCCTGCTCTAGTGGCTGCAGTTGGGGCTCTGCAGAGTGTGCTTGGCTTTCATTAAAGGTATTTATATTTGTATTAATCTCCTTCCTTTCTTTTGGCTGCGGCCGCTTGGCTGGGGCAGAGAATATGATCCTCAGGAAGAGATGGGTGGGGCGGTAGGCAGCCACACGGGACTCAGTCTTACTCCTCACAAACACTCATTTCCCAGGGGTGGGGCAGAACTTTCCATCGCTAGCAGTTTCCATGAGTCCTGGTGGTGACCAGAGATGTGCAGGAATGCACATCTTTCTCTGTCCTCCTGGGTTGGCACTCCTAGCTCTGCCTGTTCCTCCTATCCTGGCCCCTGGTAGTGTCCCTCCCCTTATCCCCAGGTTCATACTATCATCCAGGCTCCTGATCCTCTCACCTCCTCTTCCCTCTGCTGAACTACCACCTTAGCCTTCAAGACACAGTTCAGATTAAGTGCTCTTTCCTCTCCTTCTCTGGAGTCCTGGTCCATCTGAGGGTAGTCTGTCCCAGAAGGTGGGGAGACCCTGTTAGAGCCTACATTCAAGTCCCTGAGGTGAGCTGGAGCTGTAGAAATGGGTCACAATGAGGGTTCCTCTGTCCTTTGCTCTCCACAAGCTTGTTCTTTGAGCAGTATGAATTAAAAACAATCCCAGAAGACTTTCTATGAGCATGGAATGAGTGTGTGCTGTGTACAGAGCCCCTGTTCATCCTGGTGGAGAAGAAGAGCAAAAATCAACATGGGCAAAATCCTGAGGGAAGGAGGAGGCCTCAGAGAAGATGAGACCCTCTTGATCGTCCTCTACCACCACTGCTGGGACCCTCTTCCGAGCCACTATGCCACGGCTTCTGTGGGCACTGCCATGACCTCCTAACTGGCTTCTACTCTCCCTTCTTCCTCTTTATTTTCTATTTTTGAAATTGACAAATTGATCCTGATATTAAGTTCCTTGTCATTGTCTACAAGACCCTACATAAGCCAGCTGTGTTTGTATGTAGGACAGTTTATTCAGTCTATTCCTTCAACTCTTCTCTGTAGGAGCACAGAGGAATGATCTACCTACTCAGTCTTTGGGGTAAGGGGAGGCTTCAGAGAAGGAGGACAGTAGGTGGTGATAGGAGGTAAGGATGCAAGACTTACAAATGGTGGAGGAGAAGTGGGGCTGAGTTGGAGAGGACTTTATGAGAGGGGCCCAAGGGATCAGCTGGGAGGGGTTGAGCTAGTATAGAACTTGGCAGGCCAGGTTTACACTGAAGCCCATGCTGGGAGGCTGTTGCTCTCAGGACATAATCAGGCCTGATAGGACCATTTCTTAGGCTCTAGGGTGACAGGTGCCTCCAGAGACTTCCAACCATATATGTGGGAGCCATACTTCATCAGTGCTTCCCAAACACTCTGCCATTCCGGTTAGCTAAGACACCTCAGTTAACTCACTCTCTGCCTTATTGTTGCTCCTGTGCTTCATTCACCTGTACTTTTATTCCCGCTTCTCTCTCCCAACCATTCATTAACCATCTTCTCACATCACCTGAAGGAGAAAGTTCAGGAAACAAACACTCACAGATCTGCCCCATTTGACCATCAGTATCTTCCAGAAGGGAAGGCCAGAGTTTTATTCCTCTAGATCTTTATATATTTATTTTCTGTACTCAGACTATCCTTCCCCATTTCTTCCTGGTGAACTCCTACTTCTTGTTTAATGTCCTCTCCTCCCTAACCTTGACTCCAAGCTGAATCAGAAGCCTCAGGTACACACAGCTCCAGGACTTTCTCCTGCCTCAGTACTGATAGCACTGGCTCACTGGCTTGTTACTGTCTGGGTCCAGGTCAGAATTCCCCACTGTGGATTCCCTGAGGGTCCTGTTTGTGTGTCTAGCACCCAAGCTAGGGCTGGATACAAAGAGTGCACTTGTGGGAGTGTGTGGAATGAAAAATAGAACTTATTTTTATAGAAACTGTTACAGATAGCAAGAGCTTGGACTGAGAATGAGTTGGAGAACGTGTCTTCTTGGCGCGGCCCCCTTAACCTGGGCATATATTGTTGGGAGGGATGGTGCCACGGCTTCAAACTCCAAAAGTCTTCCCAGAGCCATTCTTGATGGATGGCCAGGAGCAGCCTGCTTCCAGGAGCAGGGGCCTGACTGCGTTGGCCAGCCATCAGGGAGATTACCATCCTTCTGCTGTGACCTACTTTCCCCTGGTTTTTGCTCCCTAAGTCCCTGCTCTTCCCTGGAAATGAGTGACCTGGAGTGTGTTTTGTGCATGGGGGTGGGGACAGAATCTGCTCTCTGGCCAGGGGCTTAAGAGCTTTGTCTGTTTTATCCCAGAGCTGGAGGAGAGGGTTGGGCTGACAGCCAAATGGACTGGGCCCTAGCTAAACACAGCTGCCCAGGCCAGAGTATCATGGTGATGGTTCTCACATTCACAGCTCTGTAGACATGGAATAGCTTATTGTTCAGGGGAGAGCCTGGGGGCTGGACGTCCTGAACCCAGTCCCTTCTGTATCAATATACCTCTCCATCTTGGGGTCTGGTGTTCTTCACCAGAGCCCAGACCAGCACCTGCCCATAGCAAGGACTCAATAAATATTTCTTGAATTAATTTGCTGAATGTCAGTAAAGTAGAGGTGTTGTGTGGATTTCTAAGCCCCATCAACCCTGGATTCTATATTATTTTCAATCCTCACAATAACCGTGGGGTCAGAATTACGATCCCCATTGTACAGATAAGAAACATGAGGCTTAAGGAGGGGAGATATCTTGCTTAAGGTCACATAACTATGGAAGTGTCAGAGTTGGGATATGATCCCAAGTTTGTTTGGCCCCTAAGTCCATTCCCTTAATCACTAGATATATGGAAGTAATTTTTAGTTTGTTTTTTTTTAAAATAAAATCTTTCCTGAAACCCTACTGCATAAAACAGGTGGTGTTTCATTGGTGTTCATACATTTTTAGGGTTAAAATATAACATTATCTTATAGTCAGTTAAAGACAATTTCATATATGAAGTTCCCAATAAAGATTTTAATAGATGAACAGACTGAAATGAGGAAGATGGAATGGAGATTACAATCTCCTTATTTCTTGAGTCATCTATTCCCCTCCACTCTGCAATCTGGGCAAAGTAGTGAGATAATTATGAATCTAAAGCGGAATCGTTCATGGTAACAATTTTTCTTTAATCTACTTGCTTTGCAGTCTCAGGATGTATTTAAATTTAGTAACAATAACAACCCTTAAAACAGACAAAAACCGTTACGCCAAAGCTGGCCCAAACTGATATCACGGATCCTCAAGCTTCAACACATCTGACTGTCTGAATTATTTTAATTGCAGTTTTAATAGATTGGTATTTTAAACCGATCCTTTGCGGAGTTTCAGAAACCTCTGTTGAAATGCACTACATCCCCCATTTGGCACTATAAAGCGCTCTCCCACCCTAATTTGAATCTAGAAACTTTCTCCCTACTACCCACAGTGTCTGCCTAAACCTAAGGTGGAAACATTTGGAGCAACACTGAACACTCTCTACTCCTGGAGAAAGCCCGGCCCCGCCCTGAAGGCGTTGATTGGCAAGCCACTCTCAGAGCGCCGCCAACCGGGCAGCCCGGCTCTCCCGAGAGTCCGCCCCTGTTCCGCCCCGTGGGCGGCCCGGATTTGTTTTGGCGTCAAGCGCGCGCTGTGATGACGCCACGACGCTGACGCCTGAGGATGGCGGCGGCGGCGGCGGCCGTGGCTGCGACCCGAAGAGGGTCAGCACAGTCGCCCAGACGCCGAAGAGCCCGCCGTCCGCGCGAGGTGAGGCGGCCCTGCCCACGGCGACGGTCTGACGGGCAGGAGGGGCTGAGGAGAGGCCACGGTCACTTTCTGGAGCACCGGGCCCGTTCCTGCCCATACTTCGGCCCGTGCCCGGTGTTCCGGGGCCTACGGGACTGAGGAGCAGGCCAGGCGATTGCAGCTCGGGGTTCCCGGTGTCCAAGGGTTAATTGGCCTCGAAACGTGCTGCTGTGCTGGATAACCCGTCTCTGAGGCCGCAAGGGCCAGGTGGACGTGGTCAGCTGTCCTGCCTGATGTTCAGCAAGTCGGCATCGGTCAGGGTGAACTAATCCGGTTGTCCTCACTGTCTTCTCTTGTCCGGCACCTACTCTACACCCTCTATGCGACTGAACGCCAGGGGTCAGTGGGGCAGCTGGTCGCTTCCTTGTTCAGGCGGGAAAAAAGCGGGCCTGAGTCCACCTGCTTCGCAAGCCAGTTATCCCTCTGCTTTGATAAGGGGCAGCCCAGCTCTCCACATTCACTCCCCTTCCACGAAGCGATAAATTGATCATTTCCACTTAAAAATCTGAATTAAGTCCTTCATTGTCTAAAACTGACTCCTTGCTACCTACAGGATAAAGGCCAAGCTTCATAGCAAGGCGTTCAGGGCTCTTCATAACTGGGTAGAAACATAGCCCGAAGTCAAAACCTGGGCACTTTTGTCTCCTGTTTACATAGTTTGTTGGGGATATGTGAATTTGCCTTTAGCTCTGTGTTTTAATACCTTTTTGCTTTAGATATGCAGTTTTCTCACTTTGTAATACTCTTTTATCCCCTACCTCCACCCACCAGTATGGAAAATTTACATCTCTTCTTTAAAAAAATACCTTGGATTTCATTTCTTTGGAAAAGCCTCCCTTCACATGTAATCGCTGACTCCTTTGTACTTTTATTCTTGCTACTACTTTGGAGTATATTGTGTTATCTCACCTGATAGTGGGTCTGGGGATTGTGTTATTTTTGTTTGCATCTGAGTGTCAGGCTCTGTGCCTGGCATAAAATAGGAGGTGAATCGGCTGGGATAGGTTGCTGGCTTAAGAATGGATACAGGCTCAACTATATTGTTGAGTACCTGTCATGGGCCAGGACCTGAAATGAGCAGAGCAAGTGTGTATGTCCTGTTTGCACATGCACATGTATGTGTGTGGTAAGTGGTGCAGCCTTGTCAACTTTGATGGTCTAAATTCTCCTGGGGTGGTTTTTCAAAATACAAATTCAAGAGTCTCACTGTC